GTAACTAAAATTTTATAAGAATATAGAAAGAAACAAAATATATATTAGGAGATTCGTGGACGACTGCCGTCTGCCATTGTGCACTGTAGCTATTATAGCGTAAAAATTCAAGTGATTGATTTTTTTTTTTTTAAATTATTTTATTCGACTTGGTTAGAAAATTGTCTTATTTTTTTATGATTTACCTACCTAAATTGGAAGATTTATTGACAAATTCATCTGAACTCACACGAACAAAAACAATTCCAAAAAGGCGAAAATATTCCTAAAAAGAGTTTGAGATGTTTCATTTTATAAAGAGAGTACTGTTGAATATGGCTCATATTTTGTATTTAAATAATATTTTTTATTGGTTAGACGTAAAGAAGCCAGTGGAGTCCCTTTCTCTTTTAAGATTTGTAACGAGTGTGATAAAGAAAATATAGTAAAATATTGCTGGACATAATCCACCTAAAGTGAATAAGGAAAGTTTGTCTTTGTTTTTCTTCCCTTTTCATTTATCTGATTTGTGATTGTGTATGTGTGATTGTTCGGTCCCAACTGAGAGATGATTATAAGTATTTGCTGTATTGGCATTTTGATGCAGGAATAAAAGATATCTTCATAAATATATATAATACGCTGTGTCTACGATTTTACAATATTTACATTAGGATAAAAAAAATTGTAACTTGGTCAAGTGGGTAATACTTTTTAACTTTATGAAATTTGTAATTTTCTTTTCATAAATATAAAAATATGTAATTTTCTTCATTTGATAAAGTTATTTGTTTAAAAGTTGAAAATTGTGACTGCACTTAACAAATAAATTGCAACATATGAGGGGGGAAAAATGAGTGCACACTTTGTTTTCGGTAACGTGCATTTTAATGATTCCCTGTTGTAGAGGATATCTATCATATTAAGATGTCGATTTAATTCTGTGGAAGATATGGCCCATATTTTGAGAGCACAAGCCCATGTTCTACAAGATGAAAGCTCTAGAAGTACTTAAATATTCTATATATAATGGAAAAGAAAACATGTCTTCAATCTTCCTGGACCCGCTCTGAATAGGATTGTCTTCCATAAAAAAATATCAGTGATTTATCCAAAAAGAAAAGATAACACTAGACTAGAAGTGCAAAAATGTTCTACTAATTAGGAATTTAAAATAAATGTTTAGTCAATAGAAACTTCTTTTAAGGCCTATAAATATGCACTACCATCGTGTGTTGAGGCAAGACAACAAAGTATTCACACAACGTATTTGTCACATTTCAATTATGCTAGCCCCCTCAAATAATGCTGAGAACACTCAACAAATGTTGAAGTCCGGAGATTAGCAACACATGAGTGTGGCTATGAGCACTAGCGGATCTAGAAAATTTTATTTATGTGTGCTTATTTAATCCGAATATTTAGTGGAGGGGATTTGGGATAGTGCTTCAGAAAAAAAAAATTTAAACAAAATTTTAAATGCATTAAAAAATAAAAGAAAATAAATAAAAAGAAATTTATATCCCTCATGTTACATGAACCAAATTTTTTGTCATATTAAGAAAAAGACAAGACCAATTCATTGAATAATGTGTCATGTCACTTTTTTTAATTTATATAACTTGACAAAAAATTTCGTTCATATAATACGAGGGATATAATCCTCAAAAAAAAAAAAAAAAAAAAAAAAACCTTGAACTTAACATAAAAAAAGAGTAATCAACTTAATGATATAAAACGATTAAAAAATAACCAGTAAATAAGATGTGTTCCTTTCTTAGTATCTGTGTTTGTATTCTTGGCAATGCACTCATTTAGTTGAAATCATGGTCTCTCACAAATTCAAAAAAAACCCACATTAGTCTCTCAAAAGGACTAAAATGGGTCCATTTTAAATTTTAGCTTTTTTATTTGCTAGGGAAAAGCGGGTATCAAGAAATTTGCTGAGGACCGAAAAATCACGAAATTTGATGAGGACTGAAAATGGTATTTACTCCAAACAATATATCATGTCTGTTGCAATTTGACAAGAGAGACTGTTGTATCGTCAAAGTCAAATGGTGCAAATATGTGATGTAAGGTAGCTATGATGCAATCCCATTCAAGAAGAAGGCCATCGTTGAAAATTCCTTGAAACCAACATGATGTTGTTGTGTTGAAAATAATGGTTGATTGCAAAAATCTAATCTGAAGGATCACTATTCCCAGAACAGGGAAAGTACAATTTTAGTGGTTTATTCTTTGGGCATTCAAATGTTTGGCAAGGTCTAGCTCCAAGGATTCCAGAGTTATTAGAGAAATTAGGTGATCTTTGTTGGGCCTCAATGATGTCTACTATATCTTGATGGATAAGGGTTAATTGATGGGCTTGAGATTCTTGTTGTTGGGTTTGTGTCTCCTGTATCCTAATGTATTGTTGTTTGCGAGCCAATTTTGCCATGTGGAACTGTTGTTCCAGTGTTTCCTGGCGTTGGGTTAGATTTCTAACGCGGGCATTGTCTGCCATGGGAGGGTGAGACCAGATGAAAGAACCAATGTTGGGAAGGTCAGGAAATAACAAAGAGACATAAATAGGGAAGAGATAGAGGACAAGAGAAAATTGTGGCTAGTATATATTAAACTCCATATCATTTTCATTGTTGCTATTGAATTCATAGAAATTAATTACAATCCTAATCAAACTTAAATGGAAAGTAAGATAAGGATTGAAAGATAAGATAAGACTCTAGAAAACTAAAAGTACTAAATACTAGATAATTAAATCAAATCCTACGACAAACTAATCAATTTGAATACATTGTTGATAATGTAATTTATTTGAAGACATCTGCTTGGCTTAATGAATCCTTCAGCCCAATAAGTATTCCTCCATATGTATAGGTAATTTAGAAGTGCGTTTGGGCCTAGTGCAACCTTGGCCCACGACACTATTACTAAGGATTTTCAATCGTGGATTGAACATTTGAAAGAATAACATCCGATGTAAACACTTTGAAATTCGGATATTATATATACAACATTTGAAAGAATAACATCATATGTAAGAAAAAACTTATGGTGCAGCAAGACCACTGTGGTCCTTCAATTGAAATTTTGACACTAGACTTAAATTTTTTTTAATCTTTTTTTTCTCTTTTCTCTTTCCCACTCTTCCGCCCCACTGAATATTGTGTATTCCAAGAGCACTAAATATGCTTTCCATACATAAACACTTTGAAATTTGGATATTATATATATATATATATATATATATATATAGACGTAGGATAAAAAAGATCAATGGTGTCACATGCTTACAAATCAGAGTCGTTGATCTTTTTTGATCTAATGCCTCTCATATGAGGTGTCAAAGGATCCTACCTTATATATATATATATATATATATATATATATATATATATATATATATATATATATATAGGGTAAACATTTCTACAGCCGCTTTAGATAAAGTTATCTACAGCTACTCAAAAACTACGTCGTCTTGATTAATGAAGGGTGTTTCTGTAATTTTAGGTGAATAATGAAGGGTGTTTATGTAATTTTGTTTATTTTTGATATCGTATGTATTTTACTGAAACACCATTCATTAATTCACCTAAAATTACATAAACACCCTTCATTAATCAAAACGACGTAATTTTTGGGGTAGTTGTAGATAACCTTATCTAAAGTGGCTGTAGAAATGTTTTCTCATATATATATATATGGAGTTTACACTTCTGCAGCAATCAAATACTTGACATATATATACTTGAAAGCATTAAATGCGGGGAACATAACCATACAAATGATGAAAGCATTAAATATGGAAAATCATAACCATACACATGTCCAGTGGCGGACCCAGAATTTTTTTTTTTATGTCTGCACATTTAGGGTGGGGGTTTGGGGGCGCTACCCTAGATTTTTTGTTTAAAGATCATAATCATGGTCCAATTTTTGCTTCCACTTCAAAAGTAAAGCTTTGGTGAATCAATCAAAGTTTTAAGCAAATAATCGATAATGATAATTAAAAAAAATAAACACCACAAAAAGACATTGGTAAAATATAGTATAATTGTAGGGGTTAATCGATCAAAAACTCACCTTTGTCGATGTCTATTTGATCCAAAGTTGACGACTTTTGTTTCACAAAAAGATAAAAAAATCCCGTACGATTCTCATCCACTTGATAAAGATCGAATTTTAGAAATCGTTGATGTCTATTAAGATTTGGAGCTAATAAAGTTTATGTAAAAAAAAAAAAAAAGAAGACAAAACAATGGGTTAGGATTTAAACTTTAAGCTTTTAATTGTAGGGATTGGTTGGGTTGGGCCTATCTTTACCTTTTTTCTTTCAATCTTCTTATTTTTTTTTTTTTAACTTGAATCACACATCCCATGCAAATTTATTTTCCCACCCAGCTTTGTGTCTGCAAGTGCAGACAACTGCAACAACTTCGGTCTACCGCCACTGCACATGTCGTTACTGTATATAAAGCGGCTGCTGAAATGATTTTACTTAGGATTTTTTAATAAGCTCCCGGCCCATATTTCATTGGGTGCTCCATTTCCAATAATGAAAAAGTTTTCTTTCATTTATGTCCTTATCTTCTTCTTATATTACTTCTCAATCTTTTTTTATTTCTTTTTTTTTGTTAGAGCTCACAAACTCCAGGCCCACTGTAAATAAGCTCTTTTACCTATATATATATATATATATATATATATATATATATATATATATATTGATGAAAATTGTAGAAATCTTAAAAAAATGTATGAATTTTGAAGGACTAAAATGTATCCTTAATATATAAAACTATAATATATTCTTTTTTAAAAATAAAGGAAAAGTCATATACTTCTGTAAAAAAATTGCATACAATCTAATTGTTAAATACCATAAATTAAGCTCATTTTATTATTTTTAAATGCAACATTCTTGTGTTTATTATTAACCAATGATCATTTATAAATATCGATCTGTAGCCTGTATACATCTTGAAGGCAGTTATTTTCCAGCGGACATTAACATTCTATCTAGGAAAATTAAAAGCCCTACAATTGTTTCTAATCTCTCCATCATTTCCAACCAAAACATCAACACTTCCCAACTTTATCATAGCATTTGCAAAGTTAACTTGAAAACTAGCACCATCTTGGGCAAAACTCGAAACAAAGTCTTTTGAGGATGGATCCAGAGCTAATTGTTGATCAATGTTAAGTATCCCTCTCCTCTGAATTAGTTGGATATAAAATTGATTGTCAAATGCAAGAGGTGTGTTTTGGTCCAAAAACACAGTGGGATCATTCATTGTTGAACTATTGGATGACCCACATATCTTAACCAACGTAGCATCCAAAACAGGATCCATTGTAGGATCAGAGTGTACTGTAGAGCTTGAAAGCCTATCTCGAAAGGTACTACAGTGAGCAAAACCAATACTGTGTCCTCCCAAAAGGGTCACCATTTCAAATAATGTAAACCCCTTTGCCGTGAAATGTTGTAGAGCCTGAGATACATTGAATGATGGTGCAGGAAGTTTCACTTGAGAGACATTGGATACTAGTCCATCTCTTCTTCCAGTGGGGACAATGTATATGGGTCCCCCTGCTAGACCCACTGCATCTCTTGTTGCAAGTGCAATGATATCTGCACATGAAACAGTTGAAGGACAAGATTGTTCTAAGACTCTCTTGGCCTCATCAATTATCTCAAATCCACGAAGTGATTTGTTTGGTACTGCTTGCTTTTCTGAAGACGTAGTGTTGGTTGGATCAATTAGTACAGAGGCATCACAACCCTGAAACCAAAATGTTAAAAAGGAAAATGTGTAAGCATTATTTTATTTTATTTTTTTATCAACCCAATGTCCAAAATTCCAATTGCTATACTAATTCGGTTTTGAATTCAAATCTCTCCAAGCTCTAAGGAGTTGGGACTCTCAAAAACCGAACTCGTTATTCTTTGTGCCCGTCAAATCTTGAGATTTAACTGAGTCGTCACGATACCAATAACTCTCGAGTATGTGTAAGCATTTTTTTTATTGGTGTAAATATGAAGCTTTAAGCTCGTTGATTGTGTGAGCATTAAATACAAAGAAACTTTATCCTGTTTATTGCATAAAATGTAGGGCTTAAAGCCTCTCTTGCAATAGGAAGCTTTGGGTAACTGCAGTGCAGCCGACACAAAAATATGGTGGAGCCCACCATATTTTTTTATAAAAAAATTAAATAAAAAACAAAAATTTGTGTGAATCAGTGGCATCAGGCATGAGAAGAATACTTCTCCAATTACAGATTTTCCCTAAAATATATATGTAAATATGAACTAACATTAATGTGCAATGTATGGTTCTTACTCTGACAAAGCAATCATGAAAGTGCATGCGAAGCAAGGCCGCACTAATGGATCCGTCTTCAATAAAATGCCTTTGCACGACATTGAATACAATGATCTCTGCCATTGGACAACTAAAGCTATAGAAGCCAACGCTTAGGTTAGCAAATGTGAATGGTAGTGCACATAAGAAGATTAGGATAGTAATCTTCATTTTGCGATAGCACTTCTTCCTCTCTGTTTGTGCTTCCTTTCTTAAGTTTTTGGCAAATGCAATCTATAAGTAATGGTGAACCCTGGGGTCCAGCATGTTTGAGAGTCGAGACACACTACATTTCCTAGCGTTTTTGTGAGATACATCCACGTGGTAGCATCGTGACCACCCCTTCACATTTTATTAAAATTGAATTTGATTTATTATTAATTCAACACATAATTAATTTACCAATTTGAATTTGACTTGTCATCAATGCTAATTGGAATGAAATTAAAGATAATTTAATACTTTCTATTCATTTTACAAGGGGTTCAATGAGATTTGGTTTTGATAATTGTGATCATAAATGTGGCTATTAAGTATTAACATAAAGTAATTTAAAGCTAAAATATAATTATTTTTCATATTATTATAATTTTAAATTATTTCCAAAAAAAAAAAAATTTAAATAAATTTATGTAATTTAAAGAAAAAAATATTTTAATGAGGTTAATATGATTCTCGAATTGGGAAAGTATGAATTATCAAGTAATTTAATCATATTTTCCCATTAAATTATTTTGTTAATAGTCATTTTTATCATCTCATTAATCATAATCCAATTGCATTAAATTACTTGTAAAATTAAGAGGCCCTTGTGTATGATTCATAGAATAGCATTGTATTGATTTTACTATATTTCCATTGACATTAATGACAAATCCAATTTTGGACACCTTTACTTAGGTAAATTAATTACACAGAGTGAGTGAATGATTAATCTAACATAATTTTAAGAATAAATACCTTTTCTAGTCCCTAACAAAAAACACGATCTCCACTTTAGTCCCTAACAAAAAAAATTAATCTCGAGGTCCCTAACAAATTCAAAATGGTCCCATTTAGGTGAAATCGTGGTCCCTCACAAATTCAAAAAAGACCCATATTAGTCTCTCAAAAGGACTAAAATAGATCCACTCTGAATTTAATAGGGACTAACCGACTAATTTTTTTTTGTAAAAGATTAAAGTAGAGACCGTATTTTTTGTTAGGGATCCAAAATAGTATTTACTCTCATTTTTATAAGAAAGGATGAATAGTCATGGTGCTGCCACGTGATAGTATCCGTTAAATACATTAGTGTTCTAACGTGTTTTCCAAACCATGTTAGTGTGTTTTTGCTCGAAATGAGTCCTTTTATTGTCATACGATAAAATTTTAATTATCAATCAACAAGTCAATAATAATGATTTTGTAATTTCTTAGTCCAAATTTTTTTCTCTCTCTTTTCTCTCTCTCTTTTAGACGTTATGGTAATGATCCTCTTACATAACATAATCATGTTAAATCATATATGAAATGATTCACTCCCCTTTTTGTTACATAGAATGATAAATCAGCTGGCCACATCACCATATCATATATAAATTTGAAAAAATTTACCATAACGTAGGTAAAAAAATCCGACACATAACTCTTTTATTTGGATTTAAATTTTTAATAGAGAGCCATTGAATGAATTATCATTTCTTTTAATTAATACATACAATTACATTGTATTACTGCTCTCTAAGCTTAAAGGGAAACAGTTATGTAGACTATTTCTTTTTTATATTTTTCCATGGGATAAGATATTGTGACACCCAAGTTATGTTACACCTATGTGACATCCAGTCAATCTCACCGTTAGATCGCTTATGTTGATCCAACGGTTATATTTATTTCCATCTTTGTATGGTCATGATTTCCCAAATTTAAAGTGAAAGCATTAAATATGGGAAATCATAACCATACAAAGGTAGAAATAAATATAAAATATTAAATTTGGGAAATCATGATCATACAAAGATGGAAATAAATATAACTGTTGGATCAACATAAGCGATCTAACGGTGAGATTGACTGGGTGTCACATAGGTGTAACAAAACTTGGGTGTCACAATATCCTATCCCTTTTTCCATATATCAACAATATTAAACGCTTTGACAATGATAAGCTAGCCTTTATAATAGTAAATCATCAAGGAGAATTAATAAATGAGTATTATTTAATTGAAAAGAAAATTTTAAAATTATTGAAAACCATCATATAATTTATTATTATTATTATTATTATTATTATTATTATTATTATTATCAATGGATATAACTCTTTTTAAACGTTTGAGTAATTAACCGTAGTCATTTAGTTCTCAACATTATAATTAATATATAACAGTTACCGACTTACTAACACGTGAATAGCTATAACTTTTTATTGAGTGATTAATAACAGTAAAATTTCATTAAGTGCATTTTTGACTGGTAAATAAAATTATTCTCTATTCTATTAGTCTTTGTTAATAATCCTATAATTTTTTATCCCTTTAAATAAAATATTATTTCATACTAATCCCTATCATTATTTTTTTCCTTGCACTATTCCATGTGTGACAACCAATGAAAAAAAAATATATCAGGTGAGAGACTTGGTTAGGTTGTACGAAATTATAGGTTTAAATCTTAGTGCAACCGTTTGTATATACTAAAAAAAACATTTAAGCTTAATTCCTCTTCAACCCCAATGGAGTGACACAACTAATAAATGGGTTAAGCCTAAGAAGCAAACTGATGGGGCTGAAACGTCTCTGGTTTAATTCTAAACAAAGAAATTTGGGGTTAGTAATAAAAATCTTTGTTCTTTATGTCAGGAAGGAAATTTATCTCATCCAAATAGGTTGACAGTGACACACCCCTGAAATACCAAAAAGAAATTATTTATTGTGGTTTAACATGTGGCAAAATAAGATAATTTCATAAACACTTATAATAAATATAATTGCAATAAAAAGTAAAAATTATTAATACTAAAATTTAAATAAATATTGTATTAAATATTATTAATATAAAAAATTAAAAAAAAAAAATTATTAGGCATTTTGCATTTATAAATATTAGAAATGATTAAAACCTTTAAATTGAAAATGGGATACTAGCTAAGAAATGTATTTAAAATGAAATACTTGCTAAGAAATGTATTTATAATGAAATTGATTTAAAATGTGTATGAGATGAAACTAAATTAAGTAAAATAAATGAAATGAAATGAAAATATTAATATCAACCAAAAAGGTTAAAAAGCTTTCCTTTGCGTTGTTTGTTGACACTGTTAGAAAGTGCTAGGACTTAGGAATAAGAATTGTGAAGTTGGAAGACCGAAGAAGGAAAGATGATAAGGCATGTGTGGAAAATAAATATGGGTTAAGTTATACCAATTCTAACAAGCGAGTCCGGTATCATATCTCAGATCAAAATCTTAAGGCAATGGATTATTGGATCAATCCACTTATATTCATTTCATTTAGTCCATTACTAACTAACGTCGGATTAATCAACTTGAATATCCTAAAAGATAGTGGGTTCCTCAGCCCCACACCACGCAAGTCAGCCACCATCTCGTCCGAAATGGGTTTTTTTTTTAGTTTGCATGATTTTTTCATTTTGTCCAAAATTCCCCAAAATTTTCCCGATCAGTAACCTTCAACAATCTTTCCCATGATACCTCCAATGGTTTTTCGAAAATCGGTGCACATTTCCCCAGCATTTTTAATAGCCATACACCACACTTCATCCATGCATTTTCGCCATTGAATGAACGTCATTTTGGTGACCATTAATCATTTCGAAAAATAACAGAGAAATAGAGAATCTGGACTATGGTTTCTATCTACCAAGTCTTGCCGAAACTTTGTTACTTTGCATTGCATTTTTGCATCCATATTCTGTGCAATTGGTCAGGCAAACTGAGTCCGACGAAATTGTTTTGATCAGTAACGCTAGCCAAAAAAAGAGGTAGTCTTGACATAAGGAGACAGTTACTGTTGTTTCACACGCCATTAACTGGTGCTCACACAAGCAAATATCTGAATATACCTCTATTCTATTACTGATTCTGCCAAGCCATTTTACAAGAGTTACATTGAGTTATTTATAAGCAATAGCAAATGATTAAGAGTGATAATGACTAACTTAGGAAATCTAAACATAATAATTGTCCACTAACAAATACCTAGGGACACACCTCTTCACCATAAATCTTTCATTTTCTATTTTTCTTTTATTTAATTTAACTTATCCAACAAAACTCCCCCATAAGCTTTAAATTCTTCGACCATCCTTCATCCCAATCTTCTTCTTGAAATTTTCTAACAGCAACGTTGGCAACGGCTTCGTAAATATGTCACCCACTTGATCTCGGTTTGCAACATGAGTGAGCTCCACCTTTCCTTCCTTGACTTGATCCCGGATGAAATGAAACCTGACATCTATATGCTTACTCCTCTCATGGTTGACCGGGTTCTTTGCTAACTCGATTGCAGACTTGTTGTCAACTCGGATCTCGGTTGGACCGACTTGATCTTGTTCCAGTTTACTCAATAGATTCCTCAGCCACATTGCGTGACAAACGCACCAGGATGCGGCAACGTACTCGGCTTCGCATGTAGATAAAGTCACAATGGGTTCCTTTTTTGACACCCACGTAAATGCCGTGTTTCCCATGAAAAACACATAGCCAACCGTGCTCTTCCTGTCATCAACATCTCCACACCAGTCGCTATTTGAATATCCCACCAGCTTGTACTTGTCCGACTTCGAATAATGAAGTCCTTGCGAGATTGTTCCTTGAACATATCTCAATATCCTTTTTACTGCCTTCCAATGTGTGTAGCCCGGATCTTCCATGAACCGATTTATAATCCCAACACTTAAACATAAGTCTGGCCTCGTACAAGTTAAATACCTCAAACATCCTACTAGACTCCGGTAATTACTCGGATCAACTCTTTCTCCTCCATTATACTTCGAAAGTTTTAAGCCGGGTTCCATAGGAGTTGAAACCGGATTGCAATCTATCATTTTGAACCTCTTCAGGATATCTTTTGCATAACCTTCTTGAGATACGAAGATCCCAGATTTGTCTTGTCTGACATCCAGACCAAGGAAGTATCTCATCAGATCGAGATCTGTCATCTCAAACT